ATATATATATATATATATTTATCATCAATTGACCGGACAAATGTGGGATTAACAGTTACCACTTACCAGCTTCTTCGAATAGCTTCTGAATGGACTGAATCCAATCATTAGAATATATTTGAGTGGAGTTCAATGACATCTAAAATAATATGATACATGAGTGCAATCCCTTCTTGCGAATTTAGAAAATTGAAGAAAATCCCTCATCTCTCTCTGTTGCGGCAAAGGCGAATGAACCAGATTAAAAAAAATGTATTCAAACAACTGCTGATGTAGGAAAAATCAAAAAAGAAAAACAAAATCACAACCTTTTCTCCCCTATTTTGCTCGGACAGATGGAAGCATGCCCAAACAAATGTCACCATTGTCCGACCAAAATGAGAGACGAAAGGGCATTAACAAAGACTCACCTGCAAAATGACATGTGCGCGAAAGAAGACGGCGTTCACCTCTCCTAGTCTATGAACTTCTTCGTTAATCCTGACCGTCCCGTAGGGTTTGCGTCTTTGTTAGCAGTGTGCGAATTGCGAAATGAGGGATTTTGACTTTCAATCCCGCTTTAATCCACCTAAATCCAGTTTCGACCGTTCGATTTGCAATTAACAGCTCTGATTAGGACATTTTGAAACCGGTCGGTTCTTTCATCCGAGCCTGGTCCAACTGTTTAGCAGTTCAACTAGTAATTGAATAATAGGTTTTTAACCAGTTTGATTGCAACCCGATTTAAAGGAATGGATTGGACTGGCCGCCAGATCGGTTCCCAGTTTAATCGGCCGGTCCGGTCCGATTTTTAAATCCTTGCTTCTAAATGTTGATATAGAATAATGATAAGTAATAGGCCGAACATATCCAGACATATGTAGAAATCAAATAAAAATACACAATAAATATATAGTAAATATACAGTCAACATGCAACAAATATCTATTGAATACAAAATTGATGTGTAGTTGATACATAGTTGTGCCACTTATGCAGTAAATACAAAGTTGATGCATGAATGTGGAGAGAGAAAATAAAACTTTTTAACTCCTATGAATTAAAATTTTGGGAAATTTACATACATACAACTTTATTTTATGCTATTTATATATCTAACATCCAAAACATTAATATTACATGCTTATCACCCATATACAACTTAAATATGAAATATACCACTCCTATAATTCATTTCTACCATTCATACCATCATATAAACTTTAATATTGTATTCCATGCACTCAAAATTTTTTTTTTCCATACACTTAAATTTGTTCTATGAGTGATAGACATGTAATATTAATGTTTTGAATGTTAGATATATAAATAGCATAAAATAAAGTGATATATATATATATATATATATATATAAATCCCCTAAAATTTTTTATCAATGAATCAATCGAATCAATTGGGCTGACCAGGCAAATAAAAATATGAAACCTATTTAAATATATGTATGTCCAACCCATATGCGATGAATATTTCATTAATGGGTGTCCCTCCAAACCTTGTTAATATATCTTTATGTGTGATTTGATTGCTACTTCCGGACTAGGCACAGCATAATTTCTCCGTAGATTGGGCCCGACCCAACGTAGATCTTATTACTTTCACGTCGCTAAGCTGTTGCGAGAAACGGTGCATCTCTGATTCTTCTCCGTGGGGGGGCTTCGATCCTCCAGGAAGTCGGGACGGTTGGACGGCAGCGCTCGCCGGAACTACAGTGATTCGCGCCTCCGACCAAACAATACTGTTCTTACTTTTAAGCTCAACTCAGGCACTCTCTCCCGCTAGGTTCCTATTCGGAGTCGGTGGGCCCACTTTCTGTTACTGGGCTTTAGCCCTAGGCAAAAGATACATTGTCGCTCCTCTTTCCTCGTACTATCTACCGGCGACCCTGTTGTTCTGCTGAATTCTAGGGTTTCTTGCCTTTCTTACGGTTGGATCGTATTGGAGGATGAGTAGCTTGGTGGAGAGACTTCGAATACGGTCAGATAAGAGGCCTCTCTACAGTGACGGAGGATCAGACGATGATGATTTCATTCTTTCGAAGAGGAAATCTGCGTCTAAGCCGGAGGAGAAGCCCGCGGAGCGGATAGATAGAGACGACGCGGTATGTTTTTTCTCTTAAAGTTTGTTTCTTGAAAATTTTTGTTCATAACTTAACTTTAGTATGAGTTTGATCTTATTGGAAAATGGAGAGGATCGTGGGATAACGATACGATAGCAGGGTTAGCAGTTGCGAAAAAGATCTACACAGTATATATTTAGTATCTTAAACAAAACAAGGCTTTTAAATACATCGCTGAAAGAAAAATCCTTGCTTATGCTATTTCATTTCCATGCTGAAACCAATGGTTTGGGCATTAAGCAACCATAATGCCTCCTTTTCAGATAGGAAATTGTCTAGGCCGTCTGTTGTTCAGATAATGAAATTGCAGTAGATATGGAACACGTTTATAATCTTAAATTTTGGATTTTTTCTTCCAAAAAATGCGCTTTTATGAAATTTTTTTCCATCATAAAAGCACTTTTTTGGGAAGCCACCATAATTATCTATGTGAGAAATTTAATTTTTAACCATGATAATGAAGCATGTTGTGTTCGGCACATGTAGAACATGTACATTTATCCAACATGTGTTGGACATACCATATACATATCCAATTAAAAGAAATAAAAAAATATGCACATGCATGTCCAACACATGTGTGATGAATAATAAAATTTTAATCTTAAAAATATATTAAATCAATAACTTGAGTTAATCCATCTCTTCTCTTTTATTTCATAATTTATTACTTATATAGAACTTAATAGCTACTTAACACTAAATTTATATATTTATTGTACTATATTTTCCTATAATTTTTATAATGTTTATTATTATTTTTTTACAAACGAATTAAATTTTTAAATTTTAGGCTAACTATCTATAATATTTTAAGCTAGCTCCACGGAGTTGGATAAAGGCTTGATGTATTTCTTGTTGTTGAGTCTATAATATTATTTAACGATTCTTCTTAAATTGAGTATAAAGAATTTAATATTTTTTTTTAATTTTTTGTTTATTTATATAAATTAATTATTATGTGAATTCATTTACTATTTATTTAATTTGTGTAGTTATCATACAATTTTTTGTAAATTTTTAGCATAAAATATTATAGTGACGTTTTCAATACATGTATGTGTCCTACATTTTTTTAATAATAAATGTGTCCTATGCCCTTGTCATATTGTGTCTGTATCGTCATGTATGTATCAATGCATCATAGTTTTTTAACTTTTATACATGAAGCACATTAACATTATTTCTATTGTTCTAAGAAGCAGAACTAGACATAAAGTTTCATTTAGCGAAGCCTAAGTTGAACATGGGGAAGGAAAAATCTTAAGATGAATGTGTTTTATTTCTAAGAATGATAAATTTAAGAATGATTATATTTGAAGAACAAGTGGAGTGACATTTATTGAAGATAAAGTTAGGTTATTTGCATATGTAAATTGAAAGAAAATACACTCATTATATTGGTAGATAAAATTAGTATTCTAAGAAATATGAAAGAAAAGGAGCAAACGGAAGGTAATATTGATAGAAGTTTTTTAAAATGATTGCAAGGAATAAATTTAACACCTCAATAAACATTTAATAGAAAAAAAAAATAGAAAATGAGGATTCTTAAATCCGAATCAAAATAGAGAAAGGTAATGTTGATGATAATTTTAAGTAATCCACAAACATTAGAGCTTAATACTTTTTGAAAGTTAAGGTTTTTTTTTTCTTTTATTGTTTTTAAGTTTCAAAGATTTAGGAAGAAATATGATTAAAACAAATATATTTTGGGTAGAAGTTGTACAGAAATATTTGTACTAAATAGGTTTAATACATCATGGAGCACTTATGATGGATGAAATTCGCATGGGATTTTAAAATTGGGTTCCCCTTATTTGGGATAAAGCTAATGATGGCGATGATTAAAATCTTTTAACTTGTTTGCTCAAAAAAACTTACACTAAAATGTAAAAACCACTATAACTTAAAACTCTTATTCCTTAGGCTAGAACCAATGATCTAAACCTTCTATGGGAAGACCTAAACGTGAAACTATCATGATTGAAATGTAATTAATCTATTAATAACGGACATATGCTTAATTAAGATAAAGTGATGCAAAGAATTGATCTTTTTGTGGCTGATGTCTTTTATGAAGCTCAAATGAAGGCATTCCTTTTTCTTTTTCTTTTTTCATCAATGGTAATTGTGAATCTTCCCAATGGTTTATTTGAGTTCTTCTAGTGCTTGCCTTTAAGGAAGGAAGGATGGAAGGGAGCAAGGGAGAGGGAGGTGCAGAGAAAGAAAATGGTATATGAAACAAGAGCGGACTGACCAAGGCTAAGAGGGAGTGGGAGGGAGGATGTGCAGAGAGAAAAGATGATTTAGGGGAGGAAAGGGGACCTACCAAGGCGAAGAGGGAGAGGGGAGGAGTGGCAGAGATAGCCATGTTGGTTATTTCTAATGCAAACTATAAAAATATCATGGACTCATTTACCATTCTAATGGCCTTTAAGTACTTTAAAGTACCTAATGCAAATGCAAAATTGGTAAATGAGTCCATGATATGAGACATAAATCACATTAAGGAATAGTCAGCTATGCACTTGCACCATGTGCTTGGAAACATAAGCACCATGATAAGTTACTTTAACTTGTCGAGAATTAGATTTATCTGATTGGCAAGATTCACCTGTTTCAGGAATATGATACTAGAAAGGATGGAATCTTACACATTTAAAAAAAGATATTGAGTTGGGAGTTTTTTTCATTTTTGTTTCAATTCTTCCTGAATCTAACCTTTGAATTACTTCAAACAAAATAATCATTAACCTTACCAAATTAGCGTGGAGCAGGTATTTCGTTGAATATTTTGTAGGAAGTTCACACTGTGGGGAAGTAAGGGGTGCAGTATGATCTCAAAAATACTTTTGGTCATTCTGTATGCTATAAGCTAAATTTTGTTTTTTTTATCAGAATATATCCTTCTGTTTATAGCTAACAATCCTTTCTGCTTCTGTAGAAAGAAGATGCATGCCAATCATGTGGAGAAGGTGGAAGCCTTCTTTGTTGTAGAACTTGTACTTATTCTTTCCATCAAAAGTGCTTAATTTATCCCATCAAAGCGTCTGCCACTGATAGCTGGACCTGTCCTGAATGTGTATGCTTTTCCTTTCTGACTAAAAATTATGATACGAGTACTAAAATGGGTTCCATGTGGATCCTAACTAATTTAATCCATCAATCCAAATGCTTTGAAACTTTTGTCCTATTTATTGATTATTGTCTTCTTTGCAGGTGAGCCCCCTCAATGAGATTGATAAGATTTTAGACTGTGAAACACGAGCAACTGCAGTAGATGACGTTAATGTTTCACATTCTGGGTCCAAAAAGGCTGGCGTTAAGCATTACTTAGTAAAGTGGAAGGGATTGTCCTATCTTCACAGCACTTGGTACCCACTGGTTTTTGATTTTGTAGCCTACATTAAACATAAGATTGGTCAAATTTCTTGAAGTTACTGTTCAATAAGCGTTATTATCTCTTTTTATTATGTACATACTTGTTAATTATTTCATAGGTGGCATCCCGAGTTGTTTGAAAAACATGCAATTCGTTTTTTTAGTTGATCATTTTTCCCATGTAAATACTGGCATTAATTTTTTGCACTTTTGTTTTGTGTTGCTGCAATTTTGCATTATGATGAGTTTTGCACTTATTGCAAAATTTGGGCAGGGTGCCAGAGGAGGAGTTTAAAAAAGCTTGCAAAGTCAATCCACGATTGAGAACCCGGTTAAATACTTTCCAGAAACAAATGAATTCAATGAATGGTGCTGATGATGATTGGATTGCTATTCGCCCTGAATGGACAACTGTCGACAGAATCATTGCAACAAGGTTATTATATTTTTTTGTTGTCTTCGTGCTTGCTTTTCATTCAAAATATTTGAAGTAGAAATAAAATATATTTTTGTAATTTGGGCAGAACAATATCGACTGATATCTGAGACTATCATCTATTTTAATGTTTCATATGTCAGTAACTTATTCTGTTGTCTCAATAGTGTTTGAAGGTTACTGCTTTTTTTTGCAGGCTTCCAATAAACATTATCGGCCGAGTTTCATTCTATACTCTTGGTAGATGTAGATTTTAGTCCATGTAACTGAATTCAAATACTGATGTTATCCTTCCACCATCTTTAATGTAAAAGAAATATCAAAAAGTTTTTATTGAATATTTGACGATTGAAGGACATTAACAAGAAAAAGTGTTCAATAAGTTATTTCCTTCTGCCAGAAGTCTATCCTACTCTTTCTTGCTCTTCCCAAGCTCACTTTATATCGTTAGTCATTATTAATATTGTTTGTTTATTTTTTGTCCTTTTTTCATATTTTACTAGGTGTTGGTCTTGTTTTCCTCTTTAAACTTTTGGCGTTAAATATTTTTTGCAGAAAAATTGGTGATGAACGAGAATATTTCGTGAAATGGAGAGAACTTCCTTATGATGAATGTTCATGGGAAGTTAAATCAGATATTTCTACCTTCCAACCTCAAATTGAAAGGTTCAATATGATCCAATCTAGAGGTAGTAAAAAATTTCGTAGCAAGAACAAAAATCTCATTCGTGATTCAAAAGATCCTAAAATTAAGGAGAAAGAGTTGCAACCATTTGAGGAAAAGAAAGTGTTTCGGCATATTGAGAAAAAGATAGAGTTCCAGCAGTTTGAGAAAAGTCCAGAATTTATTTCTGGAGGTATGGATGCATGTAATTTTATTCTATATTTTCACTGTTCTTATGCCAATACAATTTTAAATTGTTGTTAATAATACTTGTAGGGACATTGCATCCGTATCAGCTTGAAGGTTTAAATTTCCTGCGCTATTCCTGGTTTAAAAGCACTCATGTGATCCTTGCAGATGAGATGGGCCTTGGTACATATTTCTGAGCAAACTTTGAATCAGTCAGTTTTGCCAACTCAATTGCTCTATTTATGTTTCTAATATGTGAGCACTAAATGCAGGAAAAACTATACAGAGTATTGCATTTCTTGCTTCTCTTTTTGAGGACAATATTTCTCCTCATTTAGTGATAGCACCACTTTCAACACTGCGGAACTGGGAGCGTGAGTTTTTAACGTGGGCTCCACAAATGAATGTTGTACGTGGAAATTTTTTTTTTTGGCACAGAAATCAAATGGTTCGGGTTTTTCATTTTAACTATTTGGATATGATTCAGGTAATGTACTTTGGATCAGCCCAAGCTCGTACTGTCATAAGAAATTATGAATTTTTCTTACCCAAAGGGAAAACTAAAAAGCACAGGAAGAAGAAGTCTTTCAAAGATGTGAAACCAAAGAGGCAAGCAAAAAGAACAATGTTTGATGTTCTTTTAACATCATATGAAATGATCAACATGGATTCAGCATCTCTGAAATCTATTAACTGGCAGTGCATGGTATTTTCCTGTCTTCTTGCTTCCTTGTAAATATCGTAATTTTTTGCATTTATTATGTTACCTTGGTCGTTGCTTTTATCATTACAGATTGTTGATGAAGGTCATCGTCTTAAGAACAAAGAGTCCAAATTGTTTCTTCAACTAAAACTTTTTAATGCAAAGCATCGTGTGCTTTTAACTGGAACACCTCTTCAGGTTAGTATGTCAGTTTTCTTTGGTCAAGTCTACTTATGAATATGCAGGCTATCCAAGATTCAAACTTGTATGGTATTTGTGCATCATTTTTATCAGCATTAACCTTAATCCCAGTTATTTGGGGTTGGTTTCATAAATCTGTCATCTCCATTCATTCTTGAACAATGCTGCATGAGGTGTTATGTTTCAAAATCTTTTGGCGCAATTTTTACTTGTATTGCCTTTAATTTCCCCTTTTTTTTTAATTCTTTCATATTTATTTTCTATCCATTTTATGGTGCACTTTGTTTCCTTTGTTGTACATTTGCCTAAATAACTTAATCTATTTTCTCTTATTTTCAATAGGCTTTCCTCTCACCCTCTCAAAAATATTATTATTTCTTGAATTTTATGACCTATTCAGTCTAATTTTCTCACATTTGTCATATTTAATTTTGTTTATTTTTAGGTTTGAGGGTCTCCTAATGCTGATCTAGGATGAGATGCGCAAAATCATACACACAAGGTCAAATTTGAGAATCATAAACTCCAAATTTATCTTTCTTTTAGATGAAATTAAAAACATAATGTGATAATTTAATGAGCGTGTAATAAAAATCTCACATAGAAATTAAGGGTTATAAAAAAAATCATGCACTTGATCAGAAGCTAAATCGCAAATAGAAAAGCCAAATTGAACCATATTTGAAAATAATCAATCATACAAACAAACCATCACTAATCGTAGAGAATAGAAAATAAGTCACCAAATAACAGTTCAGAATGGTAGCTTCCCTTGAAATCTTGTAGTATCTACTCATACCATGCTAGAAAGAATTACACCAAATCTAGCACTCAGTCAAAAGAAAAAAAATAATCAAACAAAATATTATTAGAATTGTCCTTTCATATGCCTCAAGTATTCCTTATTTATAACCACAAAATACCTCCTTAGATAACAAAAATTTGCTAAAACAGCCTGTTTATCTGAATTGACAAATAATTAAGATCATGTAGTTAAATGCAATACCTGATCCCTACCAAAAAATGTGCACTTCACGGCTGAGTAGGATCTCACAAACCATGTCTATCCAACTAAAAGAACAACCCAAGTCAGATCTGAGTAGGTACTGAATCAGAAATAGAACAACAATCTTGGTCATGGCCAATTGAAATCTCAAGAATAGTAAATAACATGCACTAAATGAAATAAGCAAAGCTTAACAAAAGTCCAACTGCAGGTCCAAAGACAAATTACCAAATTAAAGCGCTATGAGAAAACCATAGAGAACCAATAGCCGGAATTGAACTAGGAAGATAACCAAACAGAGAATTGAACCAAACCAATGCAGGTATCAGAGAACTCAACTAGTTATTTGTAGGGATCATCATCATTTACATGTTTTTAATGAAATTAAACTAAAAGTTCTTTAAAAAATTACTAAAGTAAAATCAAAATATCAATTATCACTTCTCAACACATTATCTTGCATTTTTGTCAAAGATAAACTTTGATGTTTGCATCACCTAGCTTTAACTCTCAATAATAAGTCCAAGATACATGTCACAAATACATATATCAGTTTTTCTTTTAGCAATGTTCACCCATCATTGTTCTACCACTTATTAGCCCTTCTATAAGTTTTCTTTTTCATTGGTCGTCAAATTTTCAGTTACTTCCAAAGATGTATCACTTATCAGAACTATATCATTAGGAAATGGTACATGTCTAATATACCTCTTCTTGAATGCCTTTTATTTGTACTCCTAACCAATAAAAAGAATTACACTTACTTTCATATAATCTTGTTGTGATTGAAAAGTGAAAACACATAGCAAATCTTACAAATGCTTCAAATGCTAGTCCTTGCTATGTAATGCATATTTTAATTGATCAACATTGGTTTGACATGCATCTTTTCTCGATTTCTGCCAAATCAGTGAGTTTTGCTTGGTTACCAGCCTTTTCAAGTTCAATAAGCAATAATCATATTGTTACTCTCTGTATTTGTCCATTTAATGCTGTTAAACAAAAGTGAACATTATAATGGATCATCTAGGCATAAAATCAAATTTTTTGTTTTATATATACATGATTTTTTGAAGCCTAAGAAGTAAGAACGGTTACTTCTCCAATTTCGTTGCACTTGTTAAGTTTTAATTCAATTTATGCACCATACTTGTAAATATTTCTTTTCTTAAATTTGATGACAAATGCTTTTATCTCTGATTAATATAAGCATTTTGCAATCTTTTGAATTTCATTACAAATATTTATAAACAAGGGCGGAACCACCTTTGGGTGAGGGGGGGCAATTGCCCCCCCTAAAAAAAATAATTTTTTTTATTGTATAGTTTTTTAGGTTTTTTAATTTTTATTATAAGGGTTTTTAAGCAATTTCCCCCCCCTAAAGCTTTTAAAATACTATGATATTTAGACAATTGCCCCCAAACAAATATTAAAGAGCATTCATCATTTTATTTTTAATTTTTAATTCCAAAAATATCCTTACAACCAAAATTTGTTCCGGGGGCGCTGCCCCCTGACCCCGCGACCTGACCGGGTAGGTCGAACCCAAATTTCGTATGTAACCTTTTGAAGCTCACTTCGTAAGTTATTTTCATATTGTTGATACAATCAATGTCATGGTATTGAGTTTGTAGATTATGCAATGCAATGGTTGTCAAAAGAAGTTATATATATATATATATATATATATAGTGTGTGTGTGTGTATAGATATAATTTTCACATAATTATTTGGTGATATTTGTTATTGTAATTGTTGGCTTCTTGATGATTTTTTTTCCTATTGTCGAAGTGTATGTGCCTTGATTGAATATGAATCCAATTTTGAACTTTCACATAGTTTTCCTATGAGCAAAACTTATTTATGTTTTTGGACAAAATTTTCTTTTTGTACGGGCTCATGCATGTCTGTGCTATATTTATACCAAAATAAATAGCTATTAATATATTTCAAATGTATCTAGCATGAACAACATTATGAATTTCTTCTTTAAAGAAGTTTTCGTCTGTGTCATATTTATTTTGGTATAATATTTATATCAATATAAATAGCTTATAATATATTTTAAATGTATCTAGCATGAGCAGCATTATAAATTTCTTTATTAAAGAAGTTTTGGTCTGTCATTAGAAAATTATAATGCTATTCATGCTAGATACATTTGAAATATATTATAAGCTATTTATTTTGGCATAAATATTATATCCCTTTTAATATTAATACATAATATGATATTTTGTAGGATTTAGTTTATTAAAATACTTTTTTTATTACGCATAGTAAATCACTTTTAAATAATTAATCTCTTGTACATCAAATGGGCATATTTCTAATATATATACACACACACCATTCTTTTAGAAGACATATTCCACCTTTAATCTAAATTCTTAAATGGTTTAGATTTAAAGTAGATAAAAGGTAACTTTGATTACTTTTTACCATTCTAATGGCCTTTAAGTACTTTAAATCTTCATTGTTTAAAACTTTAGATAAACTATGGAAGATGTGTGACAAGAAAAGCTCCTATCCCCAAAAGGATAGTAGTCTATCCATCGATATGCGTAATTAAACATTGTGTTTTATATGAATTGCAAAATTGATTTGAGTTGACACGAATTCCGCACAATATTTTGTACCTAAAAAGTGCACTATATCAAATCCAAAAACTTAAGTTATGATATTAGAGGCTGTATGAACATCCATTTTAGAATATGTATTGGAAAAATGATGTGATTTGGCAAGATAAATCCAACGGGACCAAAATTCCATGATTCTAATCTCGTTTGGCTTCTAAATTAGTTAAACTGGGCTGATTCAACTCAGTCCAAGAGGTGGAACTGACCCCTTCCTCTTCATCGTGCTTTCTAGACACATACGAGCTTGCACCTGTTGGACCCTCTCTTTGAACTCCTCTTGATGAAAGGAGTTTGAATCTACCTTATATATGTAATTTACACTTATTTTTTTGTGGAATTCTACCTATGGATCCGCTCTTGATGCGAGAAGTTTCGATGTATCGTATGTATATAATGGACTGCTCTTGATGCGAGGAGTTTGGATGTACCTTTTGTAATGTATGCACATGCGAGTGTATTGTATATTTAATTTAGCCTTGATGATGAAAAACTAATTTAAGTTTTATAGCCAGTGGGGGTTTGGAAAATTTGTTCAGGTACATCTATGATTTTATGCCAAGAAGTGTCGGCCTGATGCTGCATTCATTGTGAACTTTGGGCTTTCTTATTGGTGGGAATGAGTCGGTTGGGAATCACATTCACTTGTGTTGCACGATATGTGAATGTGAAATTCCATGCATGCAAATAAAAAATTACTTTCGTCGTTAATTTTAATTGGAGATAATGACAAATTTAACTTAGTTTTATAGTGATTATGTTATCTATATCTTGTTTTACATGTTCCTGAAATTAGGAACAATTCTTTGCCTCTTTTTCTGACTCGGTCCATTTTACCAAAAGCTTATTTTAAAGAAAATATAGTTTTTTTTATTGCGAGTAGGCAAGACATTGATTCCTGGTTTCCTTTTAAGATTGTTATGGGATTCTGTTTTTTATTATTTCCATGTTACAGCATATGCTATTGTTTTCTGTGATAAGTTTTTGTTGCTATTCTCTAGCTTTTTTATATTATAATTGTCACTTTTTGTTTTACTTTGTTATATGTTAGCATTTTGTAATACATCAATTTTAAGTCTGCCAGCTGTTACATACTCAGTTTCATTGGATGACTATGTTTCCCATCAAGGAAATTTAATGGAATAATGGATTGTTTTTAATGATGCCATAATTGATTATTACTGTAGTTTTTTTTTTTTTGGTGTGAAATACTAATTATCAGTAATTCATAATATAAACTACTGTATGTATTTTTGTGTAGTAGGCAATTAACCCTTCATACTAGAGTGCTGTTCATGGCATTAAACTTATGAATTGACTTTGATCATATTATTTTCTTTCTTTGACAGAATAACTTGGATGAGCTTTTCATGCTGATGCACTTTCTTGATGATGGAAAGGTCAATAATTCTTTATCCTATTGGCATATTGACAGATGCACTATGATGTTGAAGCTGTTATAAGCTTATGGCATATTGACATGTCACATGCTTGATGTGGTTCAATGAAATGCTGGTTTATTTGCACCTTTATATATATCTTCTTTGGCTATATGTTTTTGTTTTTGTTTTGCATCATTGTACAAGACTTTACATTTTAATTCTTTGAAAGTTTTCAATATTTTGAATCTTTCTTTAAAATGTATATACTATCTAATACCTTAGTGTTGTTCCCGTCAGTCTCTTTTTGATGTAAATAACCCCCCCCCTTCCCCGGTTCCTCTAGGCTGTTCGGTTTCTGTGGCTGTCCAGGTTCTTTGGCCTTGGATGTTCGGTTTATGATGCTATTTCCTGACTTTTTCGGTTCCCTGGCCTTGTTGTTCGGTGGCTTTTCCGGTTCCCTGGGCTTTGGCTGTTCGGTTCCTGCTGCTGTCCCTTGGCTTTCCCAATTCTTTGGCTATTCGGGTGGGCTGTTTTGGGCGGCTACTTTGGTGCCTTTTGGGCTCCTTTTCCCCTGTTCTGATTGGTTAATTTGGGCGGTTGTTTTGGGTGTCTTTTGAACTTCTTTTCTCCATTTAAATGTGATGTTTGTGGCAGTTTTAGAGAGAGTGATTTGATGATTTTTGAAAGAAAACATGAGAGTTTTGTAATAGCTTGAGAGCTATTTTCTTCTTATAATTCATCTTGAACTTCTATCTATTTCTTCTTACACCCCATTGTGTCTTTCTTCTCTAACTACAAAAATTTATAAGGTGTCGTTGTGTTTTGTTTAAGTTAGTTTTGTCATGTTTTTATTATTTTTGTGTTTGATTAAGTTTTTTTGGAAAGGAAGCAATTAGTTGCATACCTAGTAGGCTTTAGTTTTTTTGGTTGCATCACTTTTTTATAATTTTTTTTCTTTAGTTATGTGTTGAACTATGATTATGATGTGTCATATGTTAATATTTAAGATGCAAATCACATTGTTTATAAGGTTACAATTGAAGTATTCATTTTTGGGCAGAACTATGGGATTATGCTTTTGTAATGTATCTTGGTTGGCATAATTGAAGCGAGAACCTTTTTTTTTTCCTTCATAAGACTACCTTGTATTTAACTAGATTTCATATTATTTTTCATAGGTTGTGTTTTCTTTTTGCCAACTTTACTGTTTGCCTGATTTTTTTTGCTTCCAGTTTCCAAGTATTGAAGATTTTCAGAAGGAATTCAAAGATATTAATCAGGAGGAGCAAATTGCAAGGCTTCATAAGTTGCTTGCGCCACACCTCCTTAGAAGTAGTTTCTTCAACATTTTACCATTGTTTGATTATTTTCTTTGTTGCATTTCATATCAGTATCCTCTGAAAAATAATTTATTCTTAATCTCACTTCTTCTATGATTATAATTTTTTTTATTAGCGTATTTATATTTTCTTATGGTACCGCTTAAACTAAATTTGAAGAGAAGCGCACTATATTGCCATTTTCTTGTCATTACTGTTTCCCGTTTTGATGTCATTGAACATTGATTAAGGAGTAGCAAAATTGCTATTAGCAAAGTTATGCTGAGAAATTATTGTTTTGTTTTTGTTTTCAGTGAGGTTTCTTTTTCTTGCTTAATAGCACTTAAATTCAGAATAGTTTATGGCCTAATTTCAATTCTTTTAATTTCACTTCTTTCCTGACTCAATTGGCTTTAGCCGGGCAGTGGTCTAAAGTTCCTAATACTTGCAAACTGATAAAGTGTAGTACAATGCTGAGATACCTGAAATTTGTATTTATGAGTAGGATGCTAGTTTTTGCTCGTTGAAATAAAAAAAAAAAATACAGTCTTCTGATCGTAGTCGTCGATATCCGATGCTTCCGGTGTTAAACGTTCCGGAATCAGAAATCTCCTGCTGATGTCTTCATCAGAAAATCTTTAGAATTTACTGTTGACCTCCATAATTCAAAATTTTCATCAACTCTCCTCTCTATGCTTATCAACAACAAGAATATCATTACCAAAAAAGCATATACCCTCCTCTTGCAAATGTCTAGTAATAATCCATGACTAAATAAAAAAGATGAGTTTAAAGCTGATCCTTGATGTAATCCAACTAATATAGAAAAATACTTGATCAAACTACCTTGTGTTTGAACACATGTAACAACTCCTATATGCATATCTTTAATGATTTGAATATAAGCATTATTAACTCCTTTCTTTTGTCAAACTCTCTAGAGCATTTCTCTAGAAAATGTATAATATACTTTCTCTAAATCATTAAATATCATATATAGATCCTCCTTATTCTCTATACTTCTCCAACAATCCTCTCAATAAATGTATGGCTTCCATAGTAGACCTACCTAGCATGAATTCAAACTAATTTTAAGAAACATTAGCATCACGTCTTAACCTATGCTCAATTATTCACTACCATAATTTTATTGTATGACATAGTAATTTAATTCATATATAATTCACAGACTCTTATGCATCATTTTTATTTTTAAAAGTAGGAACTAATACACAACTTCTCTAATCATTTGACATTTTTTAGTCTTCTAAATAAAATTAAAAGAGAAAAGGACCAAAATGCCCCCTTAACTTTTTAGAAGGGACTAAAATGGTCCCTAACTATTTTGAGGGACCAATTTGGTCCCTCAACTCTTTTAAATGAGATCATTTTGGTCCTGCCGTTAAAAATAATAAAAAAATTGGACGGCAGCGAGGGTATGATTGGAATAACCACAAAAATAATAATAAGAAAAAAAAGAGAGAACGATAGTTACCTTCACAGCGAGTGAGCTCCTGTGGCTATGCCCGATCCAACAAGAACGACGAACTTTTGTGAGTTCCGATTTGATAGGAAGGAGCATCATCAAAGGAGGCGAAGAAGGCAATAACGATTTGTCCAAAACCCTCCTGTCGCTACATTCTATCCAACAAGAAGAACGAAGAACTTTTGCGAATTCCAATTCGACAGGAAGGAACATTATCAAATGAGGCGAAGAAATGCTTTAAAGACTCGTTCCAAATCCTACCTCACACGAAGCACGCGAATAACAACGAAGAATGTGAAAGAGAGAGAGGAGCAAATCATTTAGGATTTAATTTATGTAATTTAATTAATATAAATTAATAAAATTTTAAAATTAATTAGATAATTAATAATTCAAATAATAATTTAATAATTAATTAGATAATTAAAATTTTAAATAGTAATTAGATAATTTAAATTTTTAAAAATTTAAATAATAATTAGATAATTATTTAAAATAAAAATAGTAGTTATATAATTATTTAAATTATTAATATTTACAATAGTAATCAGATAATTAAGCTAATTAATATTCTTAAGATATTATTACTTAAGTTAGATAATTAATATATATTTATTTTTCTTATTAAATAAATGATTAATATTTTTTTTGAAAGTTTATAATTATTTGAAATTATATCTAACAAATAATTTAATTAAAAATTTACTAAAATACTCATATTTTTAACTCCATTGAGTCCAATATCCATTAACTTTATATGTTAGGACCAAAATGACCTCATTTTAACGAGTTGAGGGACCATTTGATCCTTTTCTCAATATTATGCTTTTTCACATTTCTATTAAAGTATCATCACTTCATCAGGTTCTACTGGTTTTCACATTTTTTTTAAAACCTCTCTAACTTTAGTATTACTAATATGATGATAAAGATGAAAAGTTTTATTTTCATTTAGGTTGCTAAAGATATTAAAGTCAAACTCACAACATTCATTAAAAGTTTATCAAAATATTTCATCAACCTATGTTAAATATCTTTTTCTAAGAATTTTTTTTATCTTCATCTTTATTGCACTTCACTTGAATTAAATTTTTACTTCTCTTATCTCTTTGCTTAGCTAGCTTGTATATACATATTTTGTTCCCCTTAGTATCTAATCTATTATAAAAATAACTAAATTGCATCACATAAAGCTTTTTTGGAATCCCTACCACATAAATAACTCACAACATATTTCTTTCCATTTTTTTTTAATTTTACATTTATACCAGTTTTTATGACAAAGCATTTTATTTTTTTTATTTTTTCTTGCACATTTTAATTCCACTACTAATTATTTTTATTATTAGGAGCTTGATGCAGGACTACGCATGCTTTAGATGAATGCAATAAGAAATTGCACTTCTTAGATAAGAGCAAATAATAATTAAAACTATTAGTCACTAAACAATGATAGGAAATGAATGAGGGGTAACTACGCTTAGGCCAAATCACAAGCTAGGAACATGAACCACCAAATTAATTCAGAAATCCAACAAGATGCAAATCAAGTAGCTATTCAATAAAATCCCTAATCTAACATTGAGATATGCAACATAGAAAGTAAACTCAAATCCTACGTTTTCTAAGCGGAGGCAGAGAGCGAAGCACGAAACCTTGCAATTAAATCATCACCTACAAGGTTAGCGGATTAGGAAGATAAATGAATAGGGAAGAAGTTCACCCTTGTCGGGGTCCAGAAACAATTTGCCACTGAACGTTGGCAAGTTGTTCTTCGACGGCTTTGAAAAGTGTTAAGATGATGCGGTCCACGTATTCTTCGATGGAATTGTCGGTTTCCGGGTTGAAGTCGAAGGTGGAGTGGAGAATGTTGACGTTCCCTTGCTTGTCGTAAGCGAATATGGAATCAAGTTCAGGATCAGCCATTTATTGGTTTCGAAGGGTTGAGGTGTGGACGATGATCGTTGTTGTGAGTTTCTCTCAAGAGTTGTAATGGAGAAGATGGGGAGGTGGCCGGCGTAGTAGTAGGGGATTAGGGTATGGAAATTCAGAGATTTTGGTGGAGTTAGAGTGGGATTTAAGAGGGGATTTTGGAGGGAAAAGTTGGGATTAATTTCCAAATGAAAGTCTCTTGGATTTGGATAGAAATTAAAAGGTGGTTTGAAACATGGTGGGGGGCGGGTGGAGTAGAGGGGCTTGGGATTTAATTCCAAAAGAAAAGAGGTGGGTTTGGAAAGAAAGAGAGGTGGAGGGGAGATTTGAATTATTGCCAAGAGAGTTATTTGGATTTTGGAAATAATTCCAATGGAATCCAAGAGGGGGGACCGGCGGCAATAGGGAGAGGGAGGAGGGATTTAAGGAAGCATTCAATGCTTTCTTAAATTAATAAATTAAATTTGGAATAAAAAATTTCATCCCAAATTAATTTAAAACTCAAATAGGCTATGAATTAGAAAATTTCCTAAAATAGGATTTATAAATTAGGTAAGCATTTCAAATTCAAATAGATTTGAATTTGTTCATTAATTGAGTTATCTAAAATATGAAAGCTAATTTAGGAAGGATTTGAGGGCAAGTGGAAATGGAGGGAAAACCAAGGGGGAGGGGTCGGCGGTATGGGGTTTGGTCGTGAGTGGTTGGGGGGGGGATAACCGACATGTGAGGGTGGATGGCTAAGGTGGTCGGCGGCTTAGGGAGTGGGGAATCCTTGGCCGACGGCAAGTAGGGGAAGGGAAGAGGGAAAAGAAAGATAGAGAAGAGAGAACCACGAACTTGGACACTTCTTAGGTTGGTGGGTGATTTAGTTCCCTCTCCAAGGGATCTCTCTCCAATCTCTCTCAAGCTCTCACAAGAACTCAGACCACGGGGAAAATTTTATCATTCATTCATTAACCATGAAAAGAGAACATAAGAGCTATATATAGCCTCATACAAAGGACTCAAAAATAAAAGACGACGATACCCTTTGGGCTTACACATGACCACCCTCAAGTAAGCAGTAGAAGGGGAAAACAACTAAAGTAAATACAAACATAAATAAATAAAAGACAAATACATATGACAACTTAAAAATACATCGGCGCAATCGTGGCCGTAGATCGGCGGCCACACCTCTAATAGACTTTCCAAGCTCTGATGTCCCCATCAGAGCTTTTCCTTTTGATTTTTCAAGCGCATATTTCACAATATTTTTTAATATCACGAGTTATATTTTCTCATATAACATTAGCTTCCTTATGAAACATTCAAATCTTAAGATCTTGAAACTTACTTTAAAAATATTTTTATTAAAGTTCTTTAAATACCCCCATATTATTTTTTTATTTTTTATTTCCCCCCTTTATCTTGAAGTCTAAAATTAATAAGTAATGTTGGGTACATAAACTTTCACTTGAAGTGACTTTACAATATTTGCAAGATTAACAATCTATTTCTCTTATAAGAAAATAGTCAATTTAAGTTTTACTATGATCATTCTTATGAATAATTAGATGCTCCTATATTAATTTGAATCAAGTATCAACAATTATAAAATCATACGTTGGAGCAAAATCTAATATGGTCCTATCACCTACATTCATCGTTTTAAATTTGTAGCCACCATCAATGTTTTTAAAATCTTATACAACTCTACTAACATATCTTTTTAGTCCTCCTCCAATAAATACTCTTTTTTATACTTTGTATTAATTCTACCATGTCATTTCAAAAAATTTGAACATCTATTCAAATCTACTTTAGGAGCATAAGCATTTATAACAAAAATAATCTTAGCATCAACAACAATCTTTAAAGTTATCATTCCATCTCAAATTTGATTAATTTCTACAATATTATCCTTCAAACTTTAATTTTTAATCACACTTACATCATTTCTAATACGACTTGTACCTGAAATCTGAATACCAAAGTTTATATCCTAAACTATTGATCTACTTAAGCCTTTTCCCCAACTCATTTAGTTTCCTGAATATATAGAATATATAATTTCATGTAAATCATAATATCTATGAATTACATTAATTTTCCCGTAAGAGTACCCATATTCCAAGTTTTTATTCTAATTCTAATTTCATTGATTAGTTTTTTTGCCCACATTTGTCCATGATATAGGAACTCTTGTTTATTTAACATTGCACTTCAGCACTAGTATAGCTGCCCCTTTGCACTTTTTACTATATTAAGATCTTACCACACATCACTTTAAGATGTTGCTCTAATATTAATACAATGTATTAAATGATTTATGTAATGATTGTTCAACAAGTTTTATATTAGTTGTCAACTATCTAATGCAACCTTTTACTTTTCTCATCTAACCCGGTAATGACAATTTATATTATAGAAGAATAGTTTTGTTAAAGGATATATTGATAACTTATTTTACAAGTGAAATTAAGATAATTGCTTCAGTGAAAGTACTGTGTCACTTCATATTTTATTCATAGCATTGACAAACAATTCAGGGATAGAAGTCATTGCAATACTAAAATGCAAAAAAAAAAAAAAAAGAAAAGAAAATCTTGTAATTTAACAGGCACCAGAATAAGGACGAAGGCTTTAGAAATGAGTTTGGGAATAATAGGTAGAATCCATTGTATTTTATGCATGTGAAACGATTGTTATCCAAAAGCATTTATTATAAGATTGACAATAGAAGAATGGTTGGATGATCAGGAATGATTGGCTGAGCAAAATAATAGATACTGAAACTTCTACTTTCAGTTAAGTATAAAGATGCTTAAAATTCATCAACCAAGTCAAGCTATCTTCATCGAATCAGAAACAACTCAACAAGAATGGCTATTCAAACTTTCAAATATTGTTTGCCCAGAAAAAGAATTACAAATAAAACAAGTTGATGTTATGAATAAGGACATAACATCAGGAATGATAGGATAAAAGGGTAAAAAATAACTATTTCATAGTAAGTTATAATTTCATGTATTGCTGAAGTGAATCATTTATCAGCAGAAATACTTGAAGTGCTTCAATATCAACCATATGTATTGTTTCATGACATGGTTTGTGGTACGCCCTATTTTGACCCCTTGGCTAAACCATGAGATGTAATAGAGATGGACAATCCAGTTAAATATATTTCTTACCTACACCTATTCTAACTTTTCTTTCAAACCAAGATTGAGTGAGTAGAAAATTAGTCTGCCTAGATTATTGTAAAATATATTTTATCTTTTAATATCCTTTAATAAATTCATCATGATCATCGATATGGAAGCTTGCATAATTTAAATCATCAAAATAGACTACAAAGCTTATTATTACTTTATGAAAATCTACATAATATATATTCTTTTTTGTATTACATTCAAAACTATACATTCATCCATAATACTAAGGTGCATGACAATACAACTATCTATTATTAAACCAACAACAACCACAACATCAAGCCTTTATCCCACTATGTGGGGTCGGCTACATGAATCCTTTTCAAATTCTCATTTAAATATAATAAAGAAATATCATTTCTAATATTTTCTAACTAAGTCTTTTTAGGTCTATCTCTACCTTTCTTAACAAAAGCCAAATCTAATGCCTCAACTTTCCTAACTGGGTCATTGGGAGGCCTCCGTTTAATATGACCAAACCATCTAAGGCGACTCTCTCTAATCTTATCTTCCACTGGAGCTACTCCAACCTTTTCACGTATATGCTCATTTCGTATCCTATCTCTAAGGGTAAAGCCACTCATCCACCTAAGCATCTTAATGTCTGCAACACTTAAGGTAGTATTATGCTTCTCTTTTAATGGCCAACATTCAACACCATAAAGCATTGCAGGTCTCACCACCATCTTATAAAATTTTCCCTTAAGTTTGAGGGATCATCCCCGATGCATTCTGTTGTGGCCAACTATATATTATTAAACCAAACATAAAAAAATAATCTTATGCATTTACTTTTGTGGGCTCTAAAAAATTGATTAAAATCAATATGCGTTGGATGCCCCATATCTATCTAACGATTGGCCTTAATCGAAAGTTCTTTATCATCATCTGGAGGGGTAAATCAATAGGTGCTTTAGATGCTTGCGCCTATGAGAATCTTGAATGCAAAGTTAAAAACCTCACAAAATGAGATTGAAACTTAATCTACCATTTGAAAATTTGATTTAGAATATTGCTAAAATTCTCTCAAATGAGGAGAGGCCGGGGTGTAAATTTTTAGGGGGTGTTTGGTATCGGATTTTTTTCGAGTTTTTAGTAGGATTTAGGGTAAATCCAGCCAAACGCAAAAAAGTCGCGGTAAATCCGGCAAATCCGTAAATCCCGGATTTGCGGATTTACGCCGTAAATCCGCTAAATCCCGATAAGTCCTAATCCCGCTAGAAGTCGGATTTACGGGATTTGGCCGAAGAAGCGCGTGAAAGGGAGAAACTTACCTTCACAGCGAGCTAGCGAGCTCCCGTCGTTGCTTCAGATCAAAATTTTGTAACGTCCGATCCGACAGGAAGGGGACGTCGTCGAAGGAGCGAAGTCGAACCGTTTTAAATCCTATTATCTGTTGCCAAACATCTTTCTGGATTTAACAAGATATAAAAATTGTCATACCAAACACAATTTAGGATTTAAGAGCCCCGGATTTACTAAATCCGGATTTACAGAATTTAGTAAATCCTACTAAAATTTAATCCAATCCTATACCAAACACCCCCTTAGAGCCCACAACTTTATGCTCAACTAAACAACACTAACCATTACAAATACACTACATTTACTTTATATTTCATTCTATTTTACTATGTATTTATGTTTAAGTGAAACAAACAGCCCCTTGTAGTGAATTTCCTACTTATCTGCCATGCTGCTTTTGATACTACTTTTTCTTGCATTATTTATGATAAAAAGAATCTATGGTGCTTTCAAGAATGCCGTGGCCAAGAATATTTATGGTGGATTGGCTAGTTAAAGATTAGAACTTTCATCTTGTTTATGAAAATAAACGGTTACTTATCTTTTGTTCAAAAATCTAGGAGTAAAGAAAGATGTTATGAAGGACCTGCCACCAAAAAAAGAGCTCATTTTACGTGTGGATTTAAGCAGTAAACAGAAGGAATATTACAAAGCCATCCTTACTCGGAATTACCAGATTCTTGCACGTCGTGGTGGTCCACAGGTTAAATTTAACTCAAAGATAACCTTCTTTATATTTATTCTTTACCAGTAACTGAACATTTAAAATTTCCAGATATCCCTTATTAATGTTGTCATGGAACTCCGCAAGCTCTGTTGTCATGTATTCATGCTAGAGGGGGTGGAACCTGAAACTGAGCCATTGAATGCTAATGAAGGTTTAAAGTATGTTTTTGTGTCATTATTTTTTCTTTAAACACTTGATCAAACTCGATGAACTACTGAATTTAGCCATGCTTTATAATGGGATATTCTGTGTGATTTAAGAGGCGGAGTTAACTAATCAATAATATAATTAGCATTCAATCATATGATTCATACGTTTCAACATGTATTTTACTTCAACATTTATTATACTTCAGACCGCTATTATTGATTTTTAATTGTTTAATTTTTGTTTTTGGGAATTCAGGTTATACAATTAACTCTGTAGCGATTCATTGAATTTTTATTTAGGCATTTATAATTAAGACCATTTTCAGATATTTCATGGTCTTTTTAAAAATGATATTGCTGATTTTTTTTTGAGAAAGAAAGTTATCCTCCATGTTTTGTTGGTTGATGAATATGGTCTTATGATCCTAAAAATTCAATTGATATTTTTAATTGTATATGGCTGTATGTAGACCTGTCAATTTCGGGTTACGGGTCGGGTTCGGGTCGAACCCGAAACTGACCCGACACTATTCGGGTTCTATTTTCATGTCTGACAACGTTTGTTAAAGTTCATAGTTTTACATTCAGTTAGGATCATATTTTTTTTATGGTGTATATCTTGCATTATTTTTCTGCATCCGTTCCAACTTGATGGTCATGAGTTTTAATTGTGAAAATCACCTCTCATTTTAACATTGGATGAAGGACATGCCCATTAAACTACTAAAATTGGCTGGAGTCTTTTGCACAGTTATTTTTTATAATGAAAATTTTTTAGCAGATTGGTTCACGGGAGTCTCGTGTACTTGATTTTCTATTTATCTTAAGTTTGTAAGAGCTTTTGAACAACATATGCTAGCTTAGCGATAAAGTATATATTAATGAGCATGTACTATAAAATCAGAGTTTCACTTAAAGTTGTGATGCAATCAAAAATTTGGGAGAGGGGCCCAAATTTTTGATCACAAAAAAGGACCTTTCTAAGATAAAAAAAACTTACAAAAAATCACAAATACTAGACAAATTAAACAAAACAAACTTTAATATTATAAAATGAAAGACTTACAAGACACTTACAAACTTTGACGACTTGATAACATGAAACAACTTGAACCATAAAACAAATCCTAATGATGCTTCATTCCATTGTTTTGAGGAGAAGGATACAGGTGGGGTGTAAACTTGCCGATAGAAGAAAAATGTTAGAAGCCAAGACGAAGTGGAGACAAGCTCGCAAGCTTTCTCAAAGAAGGAAGGAAGGAGGATAGTTGGACAAAGCTCGCAAGCTTTTCCAAACAACAAACCCGCAGGTTTCTATTCCAAAAATAACTCACATAAACTCATTCTAAAACAGCTACAAACAACACTATTTATAGGCACAAAAAGGGCAGCCAAACAGCCCAAATATTTGGGAATATGGAAGGTTAAAAGACACCAAGAAGAAGGCTAAAAGACACCCAAAAACTGCAGTAGAAAACTGCACAGAAAACAGTAAAAAAATCCTGAAATTCTCCCCAAACAGCCACCAAATCAATCCAAAAAACTGTCCAAATTCTGTCCAAAAATCTGTCCCAAAACAGCCCCAAAACCTCTTCAATTCCACACATAAATGGGGAATTGAAAAGCCATTAGGTTTTTGTACAGAAATTCCAAACGACACAACGAACCACAAGGAGAAAGCCACGGTTCCAGCTGCCAAGCACAGGAAACCAGGAGGCAAATCTCGGGTCAGGTAAGTTCATTTCACGGTAAAAAGGGGGGCCATAGCAGTAAAGAAGGCAGCAAAACCAAAGGGTCAGCAGCAACCCGTGGGAGGAAAACCAGCAGGAAAACTGCAGCAGCCTAAGAGTCAAAAGGAAGATGAAAGAACAAGTTAAATTACATAAAAAAGAGAAGAATAAGGTGGGGAAGGAGAAAAGCTAAGATTAAAAATTAATGAGCTAATTTTTAGTTCAATAAATGAACTAAAAATCAGCTCATAATGAGCTAATTTTTCACTTGACTTTAATGAGCTAGAGAAGTCAAAAATCAAATATTAGGATTTGATTTGACCCCCCCTTGCCTACATCAAGTTGGCCATCAGAGTTTTCTTTATAAACTTTACAATGTTGAAGAATTGTATGCATGAGAAAGGTTAAGACAATCCCCATCCGTTTATGGTTTGTTAAGTATTTCTTTTATTGCAGATTGAGTTTCTTTTCCCTGATTTTGAGAGAAGCTTGCTGAGTGTTGAGTGATGTGAATAAATTTGAAGTGCCTTCAATATGCTAACATGTTCTATCTTCCAATCATTAACTTTTGTACTCCATAAAAACTTGAGATGGCTTAGGAAATATTTAATAGGCTTCATATTAGCTGCAGATCTATTATCACTCCATCTATTTGTCAAAAGTTTCTAGCTATGATGATCTAATAATTATTAAAGTTATTAAATATTTCTTAAATGACTAAAATAATTATGCAAATAGGTGATAAAAATGAATTTAAGACTGGCATCATCTATCACTTTTTTCTTGGAGACTGATTACACCTTGTTAAGCTTGGATGTGAGGATGGGTTGGCCAAGGAGAGGAAGGGGTTATGGTGGATTGGCCAAGGAGATTTATGGGTGATAATCCGGCTAGGCTTGGATGTGAGGATGTTGAGCTTGATGGGGAATGGAGGCATCGATAAACCGTGAGACCGGACACTTCCTGCAGCTGACGGGTCTTGCTTTGCCCTCACCTAGGAACTTCACATGCGCTCTCACAAAAATTCTCAAACACACCAAAACATAAAGGGCAGAAATTTTCATTCATCATAATCATCATCCCTCCCTAGGGAGGTGAGACCTATAAATAGAGAAAATACAATAAAACATCAAATGACAAAAGTGCCCCTTGGGGTCACATAAACCTACCCCCTCAAGTGAGGATAAAAATGGAAAATTACACATAATAAATCAAATACAAATAATTGCTCAGAAATAGAGCAATTTGATCCCAGCCGTAGATCTCTGGTCCTTCCTCTGATAAACTTTTCAGAGCCGGATGGTCCTCATCATATGGTCATGGAGAGAAGTCAAAATTTTAATTTGCTAGTTTGGTGAAACCTTAAACGTTGTTCTACTCTTTACTGTTAGCCATTCAGATCTAGTTTGTTATTTCATATATTAGAATGAATTTTCTTTTAATTGTTCATCAATTTGCTCTGGCACTGTGGAAAAATTGTCCTTTTCTTTTGTTAGGCAACTTTTGGATTCGTCTGGGAAGATGCAATTACTGGATAAAATGATGACGAAGCTCAAAGAGCAGGGACACAGGGTTCTTATATATTCACAGTTTCAGCATATGCTGGATTTGCTGGAGGACTACATGACTTATAAGGTGAGTCTATACTCATATGACGTGTATTTTTGTTCTAAAATTTGATTGTATAGAACTTCCAACTATTGTTTTTTTTTTTCTTTTGTTCCTTTGTAACTATGGTTACTTAATGTTCTTTACTTAAGAAATGGATTTATGAACGGATTGATGGAAGGATTGGTGGAGCTGAAAGGCAGATACGCATTGACAGATTCAATGCTAAAAGTTCAACGAGATTTTGTTTTCTTCTTTCTACTAGAGCTGGTGGACTGGGTATTAATCTTGCAACGGCTGATACTGTTATTATTTATGATAGGTATATATATGATTTTAATTTTATTGGAATCTTTGATATATATGATGCATGTGTTTTTTCATGAAGGTGTTAAAACCTAAGCTCTATATGACCATTATTTTCAGTGATTGGAATCCTCATGCTGATTTGCAAGCAATGGCTAGAGCACATCGTTTGGGGCAAACTAATAAGGTTTTACTTGCTCTCTTAAGCTTCATTCTTAACCAATCAAATTCTGTAATTAATATCATTATAAACATTATAAACTAGTTTCTTTAGGTAATGATATACCGGCTTGTCACTCGTGGGACCATTGAAGAAAAGATGATGCAAATGACAAAGAAAAAGATGATTTTAGAACATCTTGTTGTTGGTCGACTCAAGACACAAACTGTTAATCAAGTATGCTCAACTATACTAGTGTTGATATTTTTACTATCTTATTGAATTTAGTAAACGAAGTTATTTCTTTCCTGATGTAAATGATGAAACAAGATGTTAATTTCAATTGCAATGAACCCTTCAAAACTTTTCCCTCTTGCATATGATTTAGAACTTCTTCAACATTTTATCTTTGTCTAAAGTTCCTGATGGTGTCGATTTTAATGAAGATAATGCTTACCTTATTTTGGGGGTTCAAACAATTATTTATATTTATATGCAAGGCATCGTGGGCTGTTTATCAAAATTCCATTAAATTTAGATCAGAGTTGTATATTTTTCAACAACTAAACAAAGCAAAACTGTTTATGAATATATATATATGTGAAGCTTTGGTATATGTATGTAATGTTGGACATAACCAATGTGTTTGGCATAGAAGGTTGTATCCATTATATGAATCTCCTGCTAAAAATACGGGTGGTGTGAGGAGGGTTATTGATGTGAAACGTACTTGCAAGGATGATTAACTTAGGGAGTTTGCATGCTTAATGTTAGAAGCCATAATAATCATATCTTCACAATGAATGCTCTAACGACAAAAGAAAGCACTATGAGCGGTAAAATAAGCTTAGGCCGAATCACGCGCGTAAAAGCTAAGATCATAAAACAATCACGTTAATCTGATGTTGCATACATGGATGATTTTCAACAAGAGATCCCTAGATTAACAATAAGATTAGCCACAATGCAAAGATCCCTCAATTCACTCTCTAGCTTACTAAGTTTTTTAGCGGAGAATAATTAACATGATCTTCATGGATCCAAAATAACCATAAGAGAGAAGTGGACTAGGAAAATAAGAGATTTGGAGGGAGAGTTTACCTAATGGGAAGACAAGAAAGACCTCTTAATTGCTGTTGGAAAGCAGCCGACTCTTCTCTGGTGCACTGGACAACCTAATACTTTGCTGAAATGTTCTGGATTGCAAGCCAAAATCTCTGGACAGCACCCACGGAAGTTTGGACAGCAGGTTTTGGGTCTTGGGAGTTCTGGACAGCAACTCGTAGGCTTATGGATAGTAGCATTCAAGTTTCCAATACTTAGGATAGCATATGACACCTGTCCAAGAATCTGGACAGCAAACTGGGCTGGTTCTTTGGGCCGTAAGCAGAGATCTTTGGTCAGCTGGACAGCAACTTAGGCTTCGGAATTCTGCTGGACAGCAAGGGGACAAGAAGGAATAGTTTGAAAAGCCTCCAAACAATGACCAGAAAATCTGGACGGCAGCTCCCTATGTTCGACAGAAATTTGGACAGCTTTGATAGGGTGTTGGGAGCCTTTGGACAGCAACCTCTGGCCTTCAGCAGTGAATAACAGTAACCCAATATGGCTGGAATATGGGGACAGCCAGCAGAAATCTCACGGGAAGGGAGGAAAACATGAGAAGAGTTTGGGAGGAGGCAGCTAAGGCTGAGAATTGGAAGGGGAATTAATGAGATTAACTTGGGAGAGAGAAAAGTCAAACAAAATCTGAAATTAATTCTCAGATTTAATAAAATTGGAGGGAAGGATTTGAATTTGAATTCAAATTCAAATCAAAGGATTAATGGGAGGTGAGGAATTATGGGAGATAATTAGAGAGTCTTAATGGAGAGCAATTAATGAAAATTGGAGAGAGAGGGGAAAGATTAAGTGGCCGGCCATGTAGGGAGAGGGGAGGGGGAGTTAATTGCTTAGTATGTGGGGGCCACGGAAATTACTAAAGGTTTTAATCAAATCTGAAATTTTAATTCAGATTTCATTAAATGAGGAAGTTTCCTAATTGAAATTTATTAGGGAGGGAATTATTTGAATTCAAATATTGGATTGAATTCAAATTAATAAACCTTCCTAATTGGGAGGATTATTTTAGGAAAGTATTTATGAGCTTAGAATTTTGAATTTCAAATTCCATAGGAGAGGGAGAGGTGGCCGGCGTCATGGGGGTGGAGATGGGGACGGGCCGTGGTGGAGATAGTGGTTTTGGGAGGGGTGGCCGGCGATTGGGTAGGCCAAGGCAGTCGGCGGGTTGGGGAAAACAGGGGCTTGAGGTGGAGGAATTTAGGAGAGAATTTGGGTGGTGAGAATGATTATATATATATATTATATATTATAATATATATATATATATATATATATATATATATGTTTGTAAAAAAAGACTTCTAGTAAATATAAATTTTCTATGAAATATTAATAAGCTCTATAATCCATTTTGATGATTTAAATTATATATACTTCCATATCAATGAGTATGATGAACATACTAAAATGATAAGATATTTTTTTGTAATGATCTAGGCAAGCTACTTCTCTTATATACTCGATCTTCTTGGAAGAAAAGTAATGAGAGATGTTAGCAGGAAATATGTTTAACTAGATTGTCCACCTCTGTTACACCTCAGTGTTGCTATAGAAGGGCATAGTGGCATACAGGTTGTGCATCACCCATAAGCTTAAATTTTTTAGTCGAAAATGAGTTTGACTATATATATATATATATATATTATATATTGGTTGGATTAACGAAAGGGTGATTGAAGGGGAATGAAGTTGAGCTATAAAATTCTATAGTCTCCATAACAATATATAACACTATTCATATATGATTTCGCATATAAAAAATACTAGAAGATTAAGTTCAACAACTTTCATGAAGATTTAACAATTCATGAAGATATAAAGATGATTAGACTGTATATATAAAACCCATCGAGAAAATCATTGAATATCCTATAAACATAATGAATAATTCAATTCTCGTTTAAATCTAATAAAAAAATGTAATTTTTTAATAATTTCTAACTAAATCTTTTGGTCTACCTCTACGTTTCTTAACATAAACTAGATCTAATACATCTATTCTCCTAACAAGGTCATCAGAAGGCTGACGTTTTATGTGATCAAACAATCTAAGGTTTAAGTCATAAAACCATTCCATATGCAACAAAAAGGGCTAGATGGAATAGTTTATATTGCATTCAAGCATAACTGATGAGGACATCGGAGATCAACGGCTACGATCTTGAGTCTATTTATTTATGTGTTTTATTTTATTTTGTTGTTTTTCCTTTTTACCCTTATGGGTGGTCATGTAGTGTTGTAGCCCGAAGGGCATTTTAGTCTTTATTTCTTTTCTCTTCATGTGGCCTATTCTATAGGCTACTTTTCTTGTAATTGAGGATGATGATATTGATATGAAATTTTCAATTTGTGCTTATGGATCTCTTTGTGAGTTCTAAGTTTCTCTCTTGGAATGATCTCTTAATGAGTTTGTGAGAAGAGAGGCCAAGTGGGGCAAAAGTATTACCGTCAATCTTGGTGGATTCAAGGTTCGCGGTTCTCTTATTTCTTTTTCTTTTTATTTCTTCTTGCATCGAATTCCCTCTCCATCCGTCTACGCCCATAGCTTCCACCGTCGGCCAATCTCACCACCCAAATTCTCTCCTAAATTCCTCCACTCCAACCCCTGTTTTCACAACCCGCCGACTGCTTGACCTACCAGTCGCCGCCACACTCTCCAAAACATCTCA